CTTCTCTCCATCAGCATGAACTTTGACCCAGATTTCTCTACCTCCTGCTCTGTCTTCTCTCCATCAGCACGATCAGTTCACACTCAGCTATTACTAAAAGAAACTTCGTCTTTATAACCAGGGTTCTTGTGTTAACAAGCATGAAGAAGAACAAAGTGTTTTTGTTTGTTTCAGAGTTTACCTTGGAAACAAAACAGTTTGGAAAATCATTAGTTATTTCAGACTTTGTTCTATTGAATTATCTTAAGATAAAAGCTTCATTTCTAGAAAACGCTTAGTCAAGAAGAGTATTTGTGAGATTGTATATCCAAAACACAAACCATGCACAATGTTCACTTATCACATCAAACTGCAAGTTTAGGGTTTAAGTTGTAGAATGTTAGATTTTATTTTATTTTTCCATCCATTTTCTTTACCCGCTTCTTCCATTTTGTGTCACGGGGGTCGCCGGTGCCCATGTCCAGCAATCACTGTGCGAGGGGCGGGGTACACCCTGGACGGGTCTCCAGTCCATCACAGGGCCACATAGAGACAAATGAGACAAACAACCATTCACTCTCTCTCTCACCTAGAGTCAATTTAGAGTTACCAGTCAGCCTAACATGCATGTTTTTGGTCTGTGGGAGGAAACCGGAGTACCTGGAGAAAACCCACACATGCACGGAGAGAACATGCAAACTCCACCCAGAAAGGCCCCCGGACCGGGATTTGAACCAGGGACCTGCTCGCTGAGAGGCAGCAGCTCTACCAGTTGTGCCACCGTGCTGCTATTTTATTTTTTATAAATGTTATTCATTTCATTTAAAAACATGACAATTAAAAAAAACAAAACACAATATACACACACACACACACACACACACACACACACACAATACAATAAAAAAATGTAAATAAAATAAAATGAAAGGTGGCAGAAGAAGAACTAGTCTTATGAAAACTGCCCCTTTTTACTTAATTCTAATGTAAATCAAAATATTTTTACAAAATTTTAATTAAAATATAATGTACACATATAATAACAATCTAGTTAAGTTAAAAACATAAAAACTGAAACATCTAAATCAAATCAGACAACAACTTAAGTAGATTTATATTAACGATTTCCATATTCTTTCAAGAAACTCGTCTTTAGAAGTTTCTTTATTGTCATTCGCACCTCATGTGGTACATGTGGTGGAGCGAAATTATGTACACAGGGTCCCAGTTACATCCAACAATAAAATGTATAAGAAAAACAGTAATAACATCTAAGATATGAACTAAGAAAAA